AAATGCATATCTTCTCTTTATCCCTCCTGCAAAATGCATGCTTCTCTTTATCCATCCTTCAGTTAAGAACTACTGTCTCATAATATGTATGACATAATGCAAGCAACATAAAGGCAGATTCCATTCCTGTTTTTGCCACATTACGTTAGCAATGCCTTATACATGTAATTGCTCAACAAAAATATGACTGGTCAATATTTATTCATAAAACACTGTTACCAAATAACGTATGCAATATCCCCAAGGATTCCATTACCTGACCTTGTTAAGTCTCTTTAGGAACTAATACAACACTTCTATGACCATCCACTGTATCAGTCCTCTCAAAAACTGAAATGAGGCTAGGCATGGTTGTTCATGCCTATTGTCTTAGCTACTGGAAAGCCTAGAGTGGGAGGATTGTCTGAGCCAAGAAGTGAGTCCAAGGTTATGGTGAGCTGTGACTGTGCCACTGCACTTCCACTGGGGCAATGGAGCAAGACTTCATCTCTTTAAAAAAAATCTGAAATGGAAGTAATTTGGCATATCTTGTTTTTAGTGTACAGAATGTATCTATGATGACCACAACTTCCTTTTCACACAATGTCTCTTTGATTATTCTGAAATTTCATAAGATAGTGATATAAAACTTACCAGTCTAGAGCATCTTTTATCATCTTTTTGCTGAAAATAAAAATGTTTGCTCATCATTAGTCTTCTGGCCCCTCTTCTTTTCCTTGGGATTCCTCAAAGCTATAATGCCTCAGAACTATCCTCAGCCTTAAATCAAGGCACTTTGATTGAGAAACCTGGAAAGAAACAACAGTTGCCAGAACATTGAGTCATGTCAATCTTTGTTCTTAACAATGCATGGAATATTAATTTAAATCCTGCTTTCCATTCAAAGCAGATGGAAATATAATCCAAGAATAGAGGCTATTCAATAGGATTAATCTCAAAGGAACATAATATCATTGTTTGCTCCAGAAAAATATGAATATTTTTATTGCCTGTTTTCCATAAGCCAGGCAGATTCCGAATATGCGTTCATACAAAAAGGGAAAAGACATTGGTAACAAAGAAAGATATAATATAACTCCTATCTAAGAACAGGTAATAATAAAAATAATTGACAATAAATATTGGCAAGGATGTGGAGAAATTGGAAACTTCATACATTTCTAGTGGGAACTTCAAATGGTCCAACCACTTGGGAAAACATGTTGGCAGTAAAGTTAAATAGAGAGTTACCATATGAGGTAGCAATTCCACTCCTAGATACATACCCAAGAGAATTAAAAACATAGTTCATGCAAAAATGTATCCATAAAATGTTCATACCACATTATTCATTGCAGCCAAAAAGTGGAAAAAACCCAACTATCCATCAACTGGTGAATGGATAAACAAAATGCAGTTTAATTATGCAATGAAATATTATTCAGCCATAAAAAGGAATGAAGTACTGATACATGCTGCAACATGGGTGAAACTTGAAAGCACTATAGCAGGTGAATGACGATATATACATATCACTGATACTAATTGTGTCAGTTGGAATTACTAGCAGAGAGATGCTCTCCAAAAATATTGAATTTAACTGGGAATAAGCAGAAGCATTTTGATGTGGAACATGGTGCCATAGTAAACTGTGGACATATTCGAGGAGGTTGAGGCAAGAGGAAATTCTCAAAGGCAAAAGAAATGTACATAATTTATTTATTTATTTTTTGAGACAGAGCCTCAAGCTGTCCCCCTGGGTAGAGTGCTGTGGCATCACAGCTCACAGCAACCTCCAACTCCTGGGCTCAAGCGAGTCTCCTGCCTCAGCCTCCCAAGTAGCTGGGACCACAGGTGCCTGCCACAACGCCCAGCTATTTTTTGGTTGCAGCCATCATTGTTGTTTGGTGGGTCCGGGCTGGATTCAAACCCGCCACCTCAGGTGTATGTGGCTGGCGCCTTAGCCACTTGAGCCACAGGCACCGAGCCCATAATTTTTTTGAAACAAAAGAACACTTAGTTATAGGGGCTTATCACACAAGTGGATGTCTGTCTGTTAGTGGAGACAGTGAGTTAGGCAAGCATTCCTGTGCATTGTGCTAGCTGTCCTTGTGACTTATTTAGCAAGATGCAGTTTAAAAAGTCTTTGGCAAGATTCTTCTTACAGGCATATACGCATAAGAGCCCTTCAGAAAGTCGTTGTAATAATTCTTATCACAGGCATGTGTACACGAGGCCACTCTCTTTCTAACCTGACTCTGTTTTGTTTGGGTTTGACACAAATGACTCCATCTTAATCTTGACAACTATCACATTGGCATATAGTATAATAAAAAAACGATTTTTATCCCTTCTCTCATTTCAAAAATGTATGCGAGCAGCTTTTCCCCTTGAATGTCAGCCAACTTCACTACGGAAGACTGTACTCACTACCCCCTGCTTTGTTGTATTAGTTAGGCAGGGAAAATTTTGTTACTACACAAACCTTAATTTATTTCTTGTTCCATCCTAGTTCTAGTCATCAGGTGGCGCTCTTCCATAAATCATATGGAAAGTCAAGCTTCTTCTATCTGTGGGTCTATCCTCCCCTGGAGCCTTGTGTCTGTCTCCCACAGTGAAAGGAGAAAGACATGGAAGAGGGTATTTGAGGGACTGTATCACCTAGTCCAGAAAGCATTATTCTGTTTGTTCTAGAAAATCCTGATCGGCTTACCTGAGAAGTAGGCCTAATTGCTTCATGTTATTATTGAATTACGTTTCCTATACAACATCCTGGGCTCTAGGGTGAATAGATCACCACTGCAGAGAAACCCAGGTTCAGATAGAATTTCTATTCTCACTATGAGTACGCGTCTGTATGTTCTAGCAATCAAAAGGTCTATGCTTGCATTGAAATCCAGTTCACTGTTTATCTTTTGGGCATTATGCCATGTTATAGCTTTATATTCTATTTTTCTTTTAATCTTTAATGAACCACTTCTGATGAACTGATCTGCTGATGTGAAATGGTGATATAATGCAACACAGTGACACAGAAATCAATGCATTTAACAAGTAAAGGCCGTAACATGCAAATAGTGTGGAAATATATGAGTGAAGAGGATCAGCATCCAGGTAAGTAGCAATGATTGAGAAAAATTAAGTGAGAAGATAATTTAAGAATGTAACAATTCATAACAATGATCAAGATTCTGTCAAGTGGTCTATACACAGTCTATACAGTAGCACTTGCTAAACTGGCTTGTCATGACTTCCATAGACTTGCCATGTAAGGAGCCCAAATGGATTTAGATAGTTTATTACTTACACAGCAAAAGAAAGATCAGTGTGGTATTAGCTCCCTGTATCCCTAGTCCCATAGCATGACACCACACAGGGACTAGATGACAGATGTCAGGAACAGTAAGTCACTTTGCTGCTGAGGAGCAGGGCAGGCTCAGCCCTGCATGAACCTCAGAGTGAGTGCCCCCTTAAATTTTGTCCACTAGATGTCTCATTTGCATCACCATAGACCCTACCCTTTTAAGGAACCAGCCCTGAACTACTGCCAAGTAGTTTTATAGAACTACAAAGAAGCTTGTTCTTGAATGGGGGCACAAGGCATTCAATTGAAACTAGGGAGACGGATGAGATGTGGCCTGTAGCAGACTCCCACAAGACAGATGAGAAACCTTGCTCTGGAAGAATTTCAGGTCATTGCTAACTGTGAAGTCCTGCCTAGTTGGCCCTGGTGGAGATGTTCAAAGTTGATAGGATGCCACAGCAGAGTTGTTCTCCTAGGCCTAGGGATTATATCTGAAGGGAGACCACTGCATTTTTTTGCTGAATTTTTTTCTCCATAGTAAAGGAGCACTATGCTAGCTATGCACAGTGTCTCCAAGCGGAACAGACCGTTGATCTTACATAGAGTTTTTGGGCAAGGTAGAATTTAGAGATCAGCAAAATGTTTAGAGGCTTTAGAGATTGATAGCACTTGTAAGAAGCTGATTGCTCTGATGAGGCTGTGGTTGATTTTGGCACTCAGAGGCAGGTGCATTGGGCTATTTGTGATTTCCTCATAGGTTGGCTTTGATCATTGAGGCAGTTGTCCTCGCTGGGTTGAATGGGTTCTGACTCTACTTGTTACCAGAGCTTCAAAACAACAGTACTTTTCTAGCAGTGGGAAACTATTTTTATTTTCAGAAGGTAAAGGAATATCTTAGTAAAATAATCCTTAATCATTGTTAAAACTTGTGAAATTCCAGTGAACAAAATTATTCCAATGACTAATTGTGCTGAAACTTTCAGAATGTCTTCTGACTGCTTGATGGACCGTAGGGTTCATGAGAGGCCCATTCCATGTAGAAAAACCTTATCCCAGCCTGAACTTTTGGAAGGAAGAGGCTGGGTCGGGTTTGTCTTTCCTCTCCAGGCTAGGTCTCACACACAATACGTGCTCAATTCATGGACGAATGGATTACATTTTACAAGTCCTTAGGAATGGCAGAAAAAGAAAAAAAGAGGATCGGGCAGGCAAGAAACTCAGGTTTCACTAGTTGCCGTGTTACAGTAAGACAAGTGAAAATGATGTTCCCGAAAAGTTTGGTTGGTGAGTACCATACTCATTTAGGTGAAATGCATGATGTGTGTATTCTCTGTGTCCCGGATTGTACCGTGATCTGTCCCTGTTCAGAAGATCACGAAGATGAATACTATGACTAGGACAGCTTGCCGGACCCAAAACTTGTCCTGAGAAGCCAGCCCTTCTGGGCCAGGGGGCTGCAAGCCTCCACCTGCTGGCAATTTCACCCGTTTCCCCTCGTCCTCCCTGTTGTGCTTTGTGGTGGGAGCAGGATGGGAACCAATAAAGAGAAAGAGACTAAGGGCTGTACAGAGCTCGGGCGTGGGGTCCGGGGATAGAGCAGGGCTGTGCGGGAAGCTGGAGTAGGGGTGGCGGGCGGCGGGGGCGGGCCCGGCTCGCATTGGCCCAGCGGGCGCCCCTCCTCGCGAGGCCGGCCCAGCGCCCGGAAAAGTGGCTTCGCCCTGCGGAGACTGGCAGAGGCGATTTCGGTGACTGGGAAACATGGCTGAGTATACGCGGCTGCACAACTACCTGGCGTTGATTCGCCTCCGAAACCCGCCGGTCAACGCGATCAGGTAAAGGGCTCGATCGCCTCCAGCCCCGGACGGTGGGGCCTCCCCGGCGGGTGCGGGAGGCTGCGCCCTTCCCTTGCTGGTTTAAACTCAGACACTGACAGATTCAACAACTAACAAATGGCAGATATGCCAGTGCTTCTTTCTTTCTTTCTTTCTTGTTAAAGCTTAAATTACTAATTGAAAGCTGGACTCCAGCCAGGTCTGTCTTGGCAATTTTGTGCCAAAGAACCCTCTTTTTGCTTGCAACTTTGGGTTCTTACATGAACTTTCTATTCCAAAGGTCTTAACTTGGTTCAGTGTTGGACCTTGATCCAACTTCTCTCTCCAGCATCGAGTCCAGTGTTAGCCCGAGCTAACAGCTTTAGTAATTGTACAGTAAAATGGTTTAACATTTTGTAAAGTAAAGTAAGATCCCCGCTGGTGCCAAGCCAGTGAGTAAAGGAGAATTTTGTTCTGGCCCAGAAAAGCAAAATTCGTATTTCGTATCTCCTGATCTGTTTAAAGCTCAGGGTTTTGGTCCTTCTGTGGCTGATCCGTGTCAGAGTAAGCCTACTAAATAGCTTTTTCTAAAGAAAGAAATAAAACAGCATTTCCTGAAAAACAGCAGTTTAATCTTTTATTTCATTGTGGGGTACCTTCCACGTGCAGTGTGTACTTAGAGCATTACTTTTAAAAGTGAGAACAATGCTGCTTTTTTTGAAAATTAATGAAGTTAATTTGGTCTGGTTCTTACATATCTTTGGGTAAAAAAGTATAGTTGTACATCATCTTTGGAAAGAGCCAGCTGTCTACAGGGAGTAGGATTAGTGGAAATGATATTTTGTAACTTATCATTTACACCTTATACAAAGCATAGATATTTTGTCAAAATTCTTACCATACACTGTGGAGCAAAAAAGAGACTAAATTTAAAAGATCTACCAATTTTAATGGACCTTTTTTATCCTACTGTCATCAGATTTGACTTTATCATTAGTTTTATTTTAATATGAATTATTACATTTAATAATACAAAAAATTGCTGGAATAAAATCACACAAGGATATGTCCACTTACTTGCCTTTCCCACGGGAGGGGGAAAACCCAAAACAACCTGTTACATTTTTCTTTGTCAAAACCAATGTAAGTAATACAATTACCTACCAATTTTGGACTGGTCTGTGTACTGATTAGAATTACTAGATATTAGGATTCTGCTGCAGTCTCTGGGCATAATAGTTAACTGTGCCCATCAAGACCTTAGGGGAAAAAGCCCCACAGCTTAATACCCATAACTACCAATATTTTCTGTTCACTATTTTAAATGTATCTGGTATTTAACTTGCACTCCCTACCACCACTTCCTTCCCCACTTTCCAGGAGAAATGTATCTACCTCAAAGTTATGAGGTTTAAATGAGTTAGAGATTACAAACCAGCATTTAACAGATGTCTATCATTATTCCTGTTAGAAGTCCTATTACAAGCCCTTCCCATAGTCCTTGCAGCTCAGAAGCCCTTCGGCTTCATCCATAAGATTTTCTCCACGTGGGAACAAATACGTCTCTTCCCCTTCCCTACTGTCTTCTTCTGAACTATTTTTTAGGGAGAAGTGTATAATATCCCAGCATGTTAATCAAGTTTAACAGGATATCTGGGTTTGTTTTTTTTCCTGTATTCTTTCCTCTATTTCTTCCTTTTCCTCTCCTTGATTCTAATTTTATGCTGGGAGTCACCTCCCTAGCTCATTGAAAGATTCTTCTTTGAGTTTTTTTTTTTTCTCCAAACAAATATTTTAAATCCTTTATGGCTAGTTTAGCCAGCCATATTTCCTTCCATTCAGAGGAATGCAGGCCCTAGGTCATGCTTGATTACCAGGCCTGTCTCCTAGAACAATGGCTTTTTCTTTTCTTTTTCTTTTCTTCTTTTTTCCTGAGACAGGGTCTTGATCTTTTGCCCAGGCCAGAGGGCAATGGTGCAATCATAGCTCACTGCAGCCTTTAACTCCTGAGCTCAAGCAAATCTTCTTGCCTCAGCCTCCTAAGTAGGTAGGCCTACAGGCTCATGATATCACTCCTGGCTAATTGTTCTTATTTTTTATGGAGAGAGAGTCTCATTGCATTGCCCAGGCTGGTCTTGAATTCCTAGCCTCAAACAATGCTCCTGCCCTGGCCTCCCAAAGTGTTGGGATTACAAGGGTGAAGGAGGGCTCACACATTTTCTTTACTGGAATCCATTCAGTAAGAAGCTTCATGTTTTACTCAGTAACTCGAGGCACACTTACATATGAATACAAAACTGAAAACAAAGTTTTATGACACAAAACCTATCCTTATGCTTTATATTGTTGGATATATTCTATTTTCTCTTCTTTGTTTGAAAAAAGTGCTTGGAAACCACAAACTTTGTGATGACCTTTAGTTTAAAAAAAGAAAGCTGTCAAATAAATAATGACCTCTTATGTCTAAAAAGCTGAAGACTTGGCTCGGCGCCTATGGCTCAACCGGCTAAGGCGCCAGCCACGTACACCTAAGGTGGCGGGTTCGAATCCCCAGCCCGGACCCACCAAACAACAATGACGGCTGCAACCAAAAAATAGCCAGGCGTTGTGG